TTTCATTCATTATACTCAATCACTCATTGTTTTTAATTATGCTCGTACTCGTTTTAGGGCCGCTTTTTATGTCTGCATGTGCACTAAAACTAAAATTTATAACGTGAATTGAACAAAAAAAAAAAAAGAACACACTTACACAGTTTTATTTCTTCGCAAAACCGTTGACACTGGCCTAAACGAAAATAAGCTTTTCATACACAATAAACAATAAAATAATGACACACGGTACCGCCTATTTTTTTTAATAATGTTTTTTTTATTTTCATTTTTTATTTTGTTTGCTTGTCGTCAAAATTTTATTTAATTTTTCTTCAAACAGACACTTATTCCACAAAATCTACCGTATGTAAATCAACCCTGCTTGTCTAATATAATAATTTTTTGTGTGTATGTGTTGTTTCATTTTTTTTTTGTCTAAAAATGTTGTTGATGTTGGTTTTGAGCTCAAAATTTGCGCATTGAAATCTATTTGCCCGTCGTCGAATTTTTCATATTTTTTTCGATTTTTTTTTTATATTCATTAATTTTTTTAGCAAGTTTTTTTTTTGTTTGCGCCTTACTCTCATTTAAATGACTTTTCCTGGTTGTCTTAGACTATACTTGTTGTTTTAATTCTTACAATTTGCTTATTTGTGAGTGTCGGTGTTGTGTCTCTTAAATGTGGTTTACTTTGCTTTTATCCACTTTCGGGTTATGCACGATTTAGTCATTAAACATTTTTTGTCTTTTTTTTTATCTATTTAAATATATTTAATAATTAAATGTATGTTTTACATAATTATCAGATAGTTGTAGAGATATTCAAAAGTAGTAGTTCAGTTGAAATCTCACAGAGACTGCATCTGAAATACTGCTCTCTTCATGTCATCCTCTTTTTTCCCACTCGCTTTACATACGCATATCAATTTCTTGTGCTCTTTCTCTCTTTTCCTAGTTCCTCTTTCGTTTATTCTCTCTCTCTCTCTCTTTTTCATATTTATACTTTATTATTATGTACAAATTCATTTGAATTATATTTAAATAGTATTAATTCACTCTTGATTTGTGGTGTAGTGTTTGAGTGTCAATTCGTTCAGTTGGGTTTATATTTGAATTGTTATTGTTGCTGTTTCATTTTTTTTTTCTTAATGCAATCAATCAAGAGAGCAACTCTATGTATTTTTTTCATTTCTGTGTTGTTTTGTTTCTATCTCTTTTTCTCTCAAATATATAGATTTACTTTTAGAGATTTTATAGTATAATGATCTAAATTATTATAATAATAGTAGTAATATGCAATAGTTTATGTTTTTTTGTTAATTTTTTGCGATTTTTTTTTCTCTCTCTTTTTCTTTCTCTCTTCATTTTTATGCTCATTAAATATACTTTATAGTACTTAGTAGATGATTTTTTCAAGTTTTATTTTATACAATTGGTGTGTGAACATCATTCTCGTTCATCTCAAGTTCATCTTTAAAAAATATTTTGTTGGATTGTTGTGTTTGTTTGTGTTAAATTGTAAAAGGGCAAAAAAAAGACGTATGGTTGCACGTGTTAAAGAAAAGTGTAACTGTGTGTTTGATTTGAAATGCATAAGGATTTTAAAACCGTTTTGTGCAGTGTTTTATGCTTCTGTATACCTATGTATTTGTATCTTTTTCTTTTTTTTTTTTTGTCTTTTTGGGGAAATTTTGTTGATTGCTATTTGTTTCATCTCATTCTGACAGTGACAATGACAAAAGACCAATTCCAAGAGAAACTTCAACAAACTGAGAAATAAAATGTCTTGCGACTGATTCATTTGTACCCATTTACACTTATGTTCATTGCAATTTTATCCGTTTAATGCGCATTTAATTTGAACTTTGACTATCAACGGAAAATAAAGAGTAAGGAGAGAAAAAAAACACATACACACACAAAATCTGACTTTTGCGCTGCGGATCAAATCTGTTTTGGGTAAAACTAAAAGAAAACAAAAACCAAAGTGACAAACTATTGGATTATTGTTTTTTTTTGTTGTCAATATAATTTATTGCATGGATTTGAATTGTGTTTTTTTCCTTCTCCTGTATCAGCCTATGCATCTCTGTTTAAGCCCATGGTTTTTCTTGCTAACATCCCTATATTTTTATAACTGCATGGTTTTTCCTTCTTTTCTTTCATTTCATACGTCATCTCTACAGTACAATGCACATTGATTTCATTTAACACTGACTGACTGACTGGCTGAAGGAACAATGATGAGAGATGAGGAAAAATGCAACCGAAACGTGCATGAAGCAAACGAAAGAGAAATTCCCGGTTTAATGCTTTTGCGTGCGTGTGTATATCTTGTCGAATTTCTTAAAAATTGCAATCAATTGTGGACATTTCGTTGGGTGTTTTTTGAGATGCAGTGAGTAATGGGGTTACCTTGTTAAGTTATATGTGCGATCCTTTTGCATGTGTGTCTTTCGTTTACAGTCGAACACTGAGCAATTGAAAAACAAAAGCATTCAGAATCTTGTCAGTCGTTTCTCTTCATTATTACAAATTATCAGAATTTTTTTTTGTTTGAGCAAATATTTAACTTGTGTTCGCACATTGACAATGTAGAAGAAAGAAAAAACACACACGAAATATATGGAATAAATAAAATAAACACTGTCTACGTTTAACTCTTCTTCTTTTTGACACATATACGTGAACGAAACAATTGGAAAATATGTTCACTTCTCATCGAGTAATATCGATCGGACACTACATTGGGGAATAAAAAGAAAAGAAATTATAACAACTAGAAATTATATCAGTCCACGGTAGGCTTTCTAAAACGTTTATTCACTTCATAATCTTTTTTTCGTCATTTTTTCTTTCACTAAACAAAGAGTTTTACATTAACAAAATCAAGTGTATATGAAAAATGAAAAGAGAATTTATGCATTTTTTGCACATCGTGATTGCGTTTGTATAACTGTTTTTCTTACAAATTAGATAAAATCAATAGCTTGCAATTGAATCGTCGGGACTAACATGATTCGCTTTGAAACAATCCAAATGCCTTAACGTAAAGAGTGTAATTCATTTTTTAATTTTTAAATTGATTTGAATTTGTTTGTTTTTTTTTTTTGGTAATTCGTATTTTGAATTTTGTCCACAGATTTCCGTATTCAATATGTTGTGTTTAGTTTTTTTTTTAATTCTGTTTTTCAAACTTTTATGATAAGCTATGTGCCTAAAAGATGGTCATATTTACAAGCAATCGTATCAAAAATTTCGTCCAATATTTGGCGTCATTTCATATGCCCACCCGGTGATTGGCGAAAAATTCCCATGGAATTTTCGGGCTTACATTTTATTCGGCTTGAAATGTGCCAATTTTTCGGCGAACAACAAAATAATGAAAGAAAAAGAAAAATAAATGAGAAAAATGAACAACAATAAAACACAAACAAACAAAATATGTGTGACTAAGAAGAAAACGAAAGAGATACAGGAATCAAAAGTGGTAGTTTTGTGCATTACTGAATGAATTGATACGAAATGAAAGCTGTGGAAAATCCATCTGCATAATTATTTCTTTTTCCTTGGCCAAAATTTAACTATGCCTCAAAACACCAACAAAAAAAAATTTGATTCGTTTTTTATCCGATTCAAAACTAACTTTTTATTCCCACAGAAATCTATCGAAACTAAAAAATATTGATTCGTTTTCTCATCTTTACATAATTTTCTTTTCCTTCTTCTTTTGATTGATTGATTGTGGTTCCACTATCATTTTAGCCTACAACATGTTCTTACTAAACAAACGCTTTTCTCTGTTTTTTTTTTTTTTTGTTTTACTTAAATTGGTTTCAATTTTGTATGTGTGTCATTTTAAATTTAAGCCACATTAACATATTACTAGATAATAATATATATTATTTTTTTATGTGTAAGTAAGATGTGTAATAAAAGTTTAAAAATTACTTACATAAAATACAAAAAATGACGTTATTTCGTACTTTTTTTTTGAACATTTTCGATAAATATTTTTCTCTGTTTTATTTTTTTTCTTGTTTTTGCTTCGCTTCGCCTGATAACGACGGTTCAGATGGGGAGGTTCAAATTTATTATGATTAAGATGTTGCATGTTCTCATTTTGCTCACATGATTTTGGTTGTTTTATTTTTCGTTTTTGTTTCATTATATATTGAATTTAAAATTTTGCGCCATATTTTCGATTCTTGTGTATTATTACATTTGTTGTCGCGTGAGTAGCTCGATTTTCAAAACGAAAAAAAAACTTGGATTTATTATTGTTGCTATTTGAGTCGGCTTTTAGTCGTGTTTGTCACTAGAACTTTTTGTGTGTGTTTTTTTATCTTCTTCTTCTCTATTTATTTGTTACATTATTAATTTAAAATCGTCTATGGAAAAATTATAGACGAAGATCATTATATATTTGTCTAAATCTTAGGAATTTGTATATACATATTCTTAGGACATACATATATTTGTTACTTTTTTTCTTCTATCTTTTCTCTCATTTCTTCGCTCAATTTTCATTAATATTATTATTATTATGCATCTGGTTATTTTGAAACATCACTTGTCTGTTTATTTTTGTTGTTTATGTTTAGTGTATTTATTACGATTCGTATAATTAATTTGCTTCGTTTTGGTTGCCCTTTTGGTCGGTATTGTGTTGAACGTGTTTGTGGGTGGTGTGTGGAAAATGTGTGAAAAATAAAATGCATCTCGTTGAACGGAATAGTGAACAGCCGAGAAGTATTTTTGCTTTTTTGTTTGTTTTTTTTTTGTTAAATTTTCGATTGCGATTCAGGCGAAATGGTTCGTTGTGGCCAAAATGTACGGACAATGTCGATGAATACCATCGAATTGGCCATTGAATTCCAGCCGAAAGGGCAGAAAAATATATTTATATATAAACAGAATTGACACGAAATAAAAAACATTTCTAATTGCCAAATTGCAGGGTCCACTCTTGAAACAATCTTCTGGCATGAAGTTGTTGCTGCTGCTGATGGTGTTGTTGATAGCGATGATCGATGTACATGGCCATTTGTGATGTTGGTAACATTTTCGATGGGCTCGATCCACTAGCAAACTGGGCAGACGACATGGAGTCCTGGATCTCTGATTGCTAGTGAGCCGTCAACTGGTGAGCATTTGGATTTTGCATATTTTGTGGACTAAGCATTGGGGGACTATGTGAATGGCTATGTGTTCCCATTGGACTTCCGTGTATGTCATGATGATGATAGCCACCATGTCCGTGCATATGCGATGGTGGCATACCGTCCATCATATCACCGCCTATTGTATTTGGAGGTGTCATTCGTTTTTCTTTTTGCCGTCGATTGCAGAACCAAACACGCACCACTTCTTTTTCGAGTTGCAGTGAATCGGCCAACGATGAAATCTCTTGTGCTGACGGTTTTGGTTGTTTATGGAAATGCTGTTCTAATGCACCTTTTACCGATACTTCAATGCTTGTACGCTTTTTACGTTTTCGACCTTGTGCGGCTATTTTATCGATGCTAGTTGGTGAGCCGGTCGTTGAGTCAGCCTCTTCCAGCCATTTTTGTAGCAATGGCTTCAATTTGCACATATTCTTAAAACTTAATTGTAAAGCCTCGAAACGGCATATCGTTGTTTGTGAAAAGACATTTCCATAAAGTGTACCTAGCGCCAAACCGACGTCGGCTTGTGTAAAACCTAATTTAATTCGTCGCTGTTTGAATTGTTTTGCGAATGCCTCTAAATCATCTGATGTTGGTGTGTCCTCTTCGCCGGCGCTTACATCTCGATCGCCTTGCAAATGATGTGAATGTAAATGCAATTGTGGCGATTCTCGTAGCGCATGATGTAAAGGAGCTACGCTTTGATGATGCGGATGTCCTGTGAGATGATGCATACCATTCATAGCCGGGTGATATTGGAGCGGTGAACCGCCGGTTGGTGCATAATGCGAAGCTGCATGTACTGGTGCATGCCAACCATGTGGCGATGCCATTCCCTGTTGTACTCTACTTTGTTGTGCCAAATGTGACATTTCTGGTTTCACATCAGCTGGATGATGGTGACCATGATGCGATTGCAATCCCCATGGATCGTTTGGATGCAACGCTGACCATGGATTTGAGCTTAAGCTGCTGGTCAATGCACCGCCCGTGTTTGGGCTTGGACTCGATGGTACATGATGATGATGTGCGGTATGATTTGGATGATGGTGGTGCAAGTATTTCATTTCGCCTGCATCTGTGCCGCTTCTCGGCGACGGTGTGTGATATGCAGCTCCCAGTGCCATATCTAATTCTCCCGATGAAGTCATATAAGTTGTGGCCATTTTTGGAGAAAGTCTCCAAAATTTTCCAGTTTTTACAGTCGAAAACTTTTACACATATCACACTGCAATTCGATTTCAATGCGAATTGCCTTTGCCTTTTTTTTCGCTCTCGTTTTCTCTTCGCGTTGCGCCCGTGATATGCTCTCTCTCTAATTCGTACTTTGCCCTTTTGCAATTTCGTCTATTTTTCTTATTTTTATTTTGAACAGTAGTAACTGAATCGAAAGCACACTCGAAAACTTGTAGAACCGTTTAATTTGAAATTATTAAAGCAATCAGTTCAAAATGTCAATTGAACCAACGGCATGCTCTTATATATGTACTTTTTTGTGGCCGTCGATAGTATTTGTCGTTCATTCAATTGTACCGTGTTGCTATTGTTCTGTTTTTAATTTATGGGCTGCGTTTTGAACAATGCGATTTCAGTTAAATAAATAAAATCAAAATCGTCGCATGAAATTTATCGAAACAAATAAAATCGAGGAGAATCTGTTCGATTATTGATTTGTTTGTCTTTTCTTTTCTTTGTCACAGTCTTTCACGCAATCCTTTCAAATTACATTTGATTCGGGTTTTTATTTTTGTTTTTGTTTTTCTTTTTGGTTTTCGTTTTGTTTGGATGTGTGAATGTTGTACGTTGTTTCAATTTAACTTAAGATATTAATCCATCGAGCAGGTAAACAACACAAACACATAAACACACTGTATATTGTCACTTATGAAGTGCTTTTGAATCACTTAAATTGAGCAAAGTTTCTTCGTGTCTAACGTTTTGCTTGATAGAAAAAAGGATCAAAAATCTCGCTTGATTTTGATTCAAATTCAGTCACAAATTGAGCAAATTTTTGTGAGTGTTTCGCTTTTTTATGGCGTTGGTGTTTATTTGATAATGAGCGATCAAGCATCAAATTTTTTTTATATGTTCTTGTTCTTGTTATTTTTCGGGTTGATTTTTTTATTTGTTTATTTGATTCAGGTACACGCTGCCGTTGTGCTATTGTGCTGGAATTTAAGACTCAATGTTGTTCGTTGTCCTATAATATTCGCACAATTTGTTTATCTTCGTATTTCTGTTTTTTTTTCTGTTGGTCTCTCTTGATATCACTTGCACTGATTGTCACTCAGCACCTGAACTAAATGTCGATTAAGTTTTATCTTATTCACTTGCACAGTGTGTTGCAATGTAATCGAATTAATTGTCGAAAACATCAATCGAAGACAAAGTCTTTGGACTGTCCTTTTTGCGGGTGTGTATGTATTTTTTTTCTATTGTCTCTTAACAATTCGTTGATTTGCAATCGATCGTGCACAAATGAATTTGTTGAAGAAGAAGCACGCGCGCAAAAAATAAACGAAATAAATGTTATAACCGATTTGATATATTTCTGTTTACTTCGAACTAGAACTCGAATTCAATACTTCGTCCGATTCTATGTCATCAAATTGAAAATAATTCTTGTGAACTTTGTTGTGTGGTTTACATGTGTACATATGTGTATAAAAATGAGGAAATATTTTTATATATTGAAACGCACTAAAACTTGTTCACGTGCAGACTCAACGAGGTATCGAAGTCAACTGACAATAATGAACTACTCGCTCTGTGCCGTCTACTCAATATTCTATATTTTCTTCTACTACAAACATTACTAACACTTCTTCACATATTGCTTACTGTCGCTTTGCTTTGGTTTTTTTCCTCTTCTTTTTTCTTATTCGTATAAGCCTCATCTCTCACCGCAGCTACGTTTTGCGTGCGTGTTCTTTCGTCTCTGTTTTGCTCTGTGTACACACATCGTTGTGCACGCATCTCGTTGCGTCCCATTCTAATGCACTGCAAATGTAATATTGTCTTGCTTTTTGCTATTTACTTCCAACCAAACAAAAATACCATATGTGTACGATGCGCAAGTGGTGGTGCGAACGAATACAGTAAACACAATGAAAATCAGTGAGGAGAACAGAATAAAAACGAAATGAAACGGAAGATATTTTACACGTTTCACACACATGCATAACGTCGATTCGTTGATGCCTCGATTGTGTAGCGTGTACTCACATACTCGATATATACCCCACTTACTTGTGTCGTACTTCAATATAGAGTGCCTATCAGCCGTTTCATGCAAACTGAAAATGATTGGACTCATATTAGACATTTACATGCAGGCAATAGCCTGTGTGTCTGGTGACGTCACAATTTTTTTGTAAACACCCATCACGTATGCCAATGCGTATGTTTGGCTCCGCCCAACAATTCGTATACGTATACGGAATTATATGCAATTGTCGTTTGTTGATTGTGGTGGTGTGTGGATTGTGTGCGAACAGAATGAAACTATCTGACAATGATACGTTTTGATGCTTCTATCAGTGTGAAAAATGTTCTCAATTTGATCGTATGCGCATGACGAGCAATGAAAATTTTCTTCGCTCTGCTGAATTCCATACTCGTTTCGTTCACGCGTTTATTTTCGGTGAAGTGAAGAAATTGCGGTGCCTCAATAGAGATATTTTCAACATTGCTGGAATACAATTATTCTTTTTCTTAAATTTTTTCGTCATATTATTTTGTTCGCTTCAAATACAATGAATATCACAATTTATTCTTTTGCTCAAACATTCAATTTCACGCAACAAAATCACACATTTCTTTCAACACCGATTTTCATTTGAATGCACATTTAACTGATACGGCAGCAAAGCGATACACGATGAATGAATAAAAATATACGGTTTACAAAAATTTATCCAAAATTATATCAAATCTATTTAATTCATCCATGTAAAATCAAATAAAAATCGTATAAATATTTGTCGAATAATCTTCTTTTCAATTTGGATTTCATTCGATAGAATTTATCCGTGTTGGAACGAACATTGGATTGAAGTGTAACGGAATTTCAATCTTTATTCAAATACAATCAAATTCAGCTCTTAATTCAGCGCTAAAAGACATTCAAAAATGTCAACGTTATGCGGTTATCAAATGAAATTTGATGTGATATAGTTTGCGGTTGTTAATAAATATCGTCCATTTAAAATGATATTTATTATTTGTTGGAAACATGTTTTGTTTTCTTTTTCTTTTCGATGGTTAAGAATATTTGTTTTAATTAACGCACAAAATGCGTATGGATGCGGCCGCATGTTAAACATATTTTGCAACAGGTTGAAAGTGTAATGCGTGTGCGAGTATGATTTCGAAAATCTAAATTATTCAGATTGGCATGCGCCGTATATGCAAATCATGGTTATATGGTATGGAATCAACTGCGTGCCCCATATCTTTTACTCACTTAATGTGTGCGTAAACAAACGAAGACGATTTTGCCTGGAACGAATCAAGCGAAAAATCGGGGAAGCTTCGAAGTTTCAAACTGCAACCGCAACAAACAAAAAATAATGCCACGAGAAACAAGAAGAATTCGAGGCACACTAAACATGAACGAAAAAAAAAACACACACAATTTTTTTTCATTGAGAGTGTGTATTTGGTTAGCGCACGTTGTTTGCCGATCTTTGTGCATTCTTCATCTTTAGTCATCGATGAATATTTATAATGCCGATTTCATATGCATACCGCCTGAATGTTTTGTTTGGTTTGATCACACGCGTACCGTTCGGTTTGACGTAGTTGAAAGTGAAAATTGTACACGAAAACCAGCACGAAATTGAGTTTTGAAATGAAATGAAAAAAAAAAAAAAAAATTGAGAAAAATAAATGTATCTATAGTTAAAAGCGATCAGGACAATATTACGGTGTTCTTTTTCTCTTTAGTAAATTGGGTACTAAATTATGGATAGAACGGAGAAGATTGTTTAACACTTGAACACGAGAGACAACAAAAAAATTAATCCTTGTTTTTAAATATCATCATTGACTCTGAACACTTCTCAACAATTCATATCCCTTTTGATATTTATTTACATAATGTGACATACGTTTCAGTTTTCATTAGGATTTTAGCTGCATGCGTTCATAATTTTGAATTTGAAAAAAAAAAAAAACAGACACAGTATTAATCGGTATAGGAAGAGGCAGCCGAAAACAAATCGGTGCATCTCATTTCAATTTGAATAACTGGTATAAAACCGCTGGAGATCGGTTCAATTTGGGAGGTGCATGTTGTTTATTCTGTGGACATAAGACAGAAGGTAACAGAGAATCTGCATGAAATTAAGGGCTCGACTCATTCAGTGTGAAATTTATATTAAATTTTTTTTTTATTCTTTTATATGCACCCAAACACGAACCAAATGATCTTCTACGTTTTATTTTTTATGCCAATTTATTGGTAGCAATTTAAAGGTGGTAGTGATTTGTGACTTTGACACATACTGACAAATTAAGTCGTTAATAATCTAATTTGCATGAATGTTAAACTATCATTCATGTGTCATCCGATCGAAGTGGATCGGAGAGAAAACCGCACCAAATAAATTCATTTTGAATTGTTGCAGCTACGATTTGTATGTTTCTTTTTTGATATTGCAATTTTAGTTTTGTTGTTACTAAATGAGTCCATTTATTACGCCGCACCATTTTAAGCCTGAAATACGCATGGAATTAGCTTAATAACGAATTAGAGGGAAATAAAAGAAGAAAAAAAAACACACACACACAACATAGCAAATTACAAATAACAACAGCGATCGTTGATAAATTAATTAGCGCATACTTGTTGAAAATAATTAAATGAATTAAATTGTATACGCATAAAAATGATGAAAATAATAATTAAATGCGACTGAGTTGCATTGCAATTCCGTCAATCGATTAGCTTGATCTGGATGGTTGAAATGTTGGCTTAATTGATTCCCATTGCGTGAATTTACCTGTATGCTTGTTGTTGCCATAATAAGTACTTCTTCTTCTTCTTCTTTCCGTTCAAAAGTTGACAATGATGATAATCATGGTGGTAGTGATGAGAACAAGAATCCGTGCGAAATGTCGCATATCATACATCATGTTTAGTCATTCGATGTGTCATTTACTTCCAATTGTTTGCGATGCGCCACGATAATGATTTGAATTTGTGACTTTCACGGATTTCATGTACGTATTCGGTGTTGGTCAGTCGTTTGGTCGATTGGTTACACGGTTCGATCGGTTATCGACCAAAAATGTAACCCACATTCATCATCGACATGATGTGATTTTTCCATGGATTCACATACAGAGGAAAATAGTAATGGATTCGAAATGATTCCAACAATTTTTCTTATTCATTCATTCGTTCGGTTTCGATTAAAACTTAAGTTAAATTCGCATAATCAAACACACAACAAACACTATTAACTGTAGTCTATTCGACTAAATATCGTTTGAAGCGAAAAATATCTAGGACAACCTCCATTTATGGGTTTCGTTAGTAAATAATAATTGAAAAGGTATGAGTCAAGAAATGGAATAAGGTATCAAACGTATGATTGAATGATTCGAACGCATTATAAAGAATTGATGTGTGTGTGTGTGAGCGCACGCTCATGTATTTGTATCTTTACCACCACTTTAGTTTTGAGTGATGCATTGTGCACATATCCAATCTTGACGGAGATGGTTGAAAAACAACATTTTCACTGATGAGAAATACATAAAAATTTCTATTTCGATTTGGCTAAATCTCGACACAACATGACTATTTTTTTTTTCGTTTGTTTGTTTGTTTTGCTATAATCAGCCCGTACAGACTCACACTGTACTCGGAATTGATACACGCAGCCAAGTGAAGTAACATACCAAACTATCTAGTCTCTCTCTTTCTCTATCTCTCTCCCTTTTTCCAACGCTACATGTTTAAGTTAAATGATTTTTCTCGAATGAATTGAAGTCGCTCAAGTCACTATTAATGTGATATTTATTCGCCTTAATCGTATCGAAAAACATTCCATAACAACACAAAAAGTGAATAGCTAGGCGAGTAAATGAATTAATTACAAATTGGTAATGCATTAAGATGGAGATAGAGAGAGGAGCCCCTTCGTTAATTTGTTGAAAATCAAATAAAAAGAAAGAAAATAATATCGCCTGAGAGCGAGAGCGACAGACAGTATCTGGTTAAAACATGATCTGACGCCACAATCATTTATGATTGTGTCCATTCCAATTGACGATTCGCAACCGCTCGATTTGCTATAAACGTTCAAGCAAAAATTCTTACCCCTTTTACAAAACGGAATGCTTTGCATTCTAGTCAGAGTAATTTTGCATGAAAAATTGTACACTACCCCAATTGCATAGTACAGACACAAACCGTACGAGTAAAATTGCCGCATGAGCGCTGTTAGCAATTTAGAAGAACATTTTACCCCTATTATTGAAAAAGAAAAAAAAAAACACTGCAAACAAGGTAAAGTTATTCGATTTTTTGCATTTATCTGCTGTCACTCTCGTTGTTTTTGTCTTCGTTTATTTAGATGGTTTGCTGCTCCAAATATCATATGATAATGAAGATGTGCACGTGTTCGTAAATTTGTATTTTTTGTTTTTGTTTTTTTTTTCAGTAATCTTCAATCCACTCAAAACAAAAACGAAGTGGAAAAAAAAACACATAAAGAACTCGCACTTCTGAGAAATCAACAAACAGT